AGTGCCTTAATTTAATTATATATATAATATATTCCCTGTGCCTGTGACTCTGTTTATCTTGCCATTTTCTACAAGTCTCCATTTTCTTCTTATTCTTCTATTTTATGCCGACCTCTCAAGGTCTTGTCTTGGCCACGGCCATGGCCGTCTCCGCCGGCACCATTTTCCTTTTCGACCACTTACGAGAAAAGTATTTCCGCCACGCCCTCCAACTCTCCGAAAATCAAGATTCCACCCCTCGTCAGAATCAAGAATCCCTCAAGTCTTGCTTATTATCTCCAGGTGACCCAAAAATGGCCGACCCCTGTTTTTTTTCCCTTTTTTATTTTTTCAAATTCTTGAATCGAAAGTTGACTTTTTTTTTTAATTTTGATTTTTTTTTTCTTAAGGTTGTCTGAAAAGGGACAAAGGGCAGAGGAAAAACGACGGCAAGAAGAAAAAGAGGGTTCGATTTTCGGATGAGGTCAGAGATTCGAAGGGCAATGGCGAACTGTACAGAAAAGCAGGGAGATGGTCGGAATTCGGCGGTGGCCGGAGAAATTCGTGCGGGGAGGAGGCTGTCGGAATACCGAAAATGCCCCCGAACCATGCGGTTCTGTACAGTGGAATTCTTAAAGATCGTGTGCAGAGGATGGAGTATTCGTACTGATCATCGTTTGAACTTTTTTCCGTTTTTCTTTTTTTGTCTGACTATAAAAGGGCTTTGTTTTTTACTCTCTTTTTTTCTGGGGATTGGAACGAATTGTAGATCAAGAAAAGTGATGGGGTGGGAATGGAATTCTTGGGTTTTCATGTCCTTCTGTTGTAAATAAAACAAGGTGATTTTACCATGCGTTTGTCTCATACTTTGGTTGCTGACCGGTCAGAACGGAAAATCGAGGGCAGTAGGGGTTGACTTGACTGCCCTATGGGCAGCAACAAATTTTGTCCATACATACATACATACATAAATGGTCACAAGTAACTTGTAGTGGTGGCCGGTCAACGGGCCAAGGCCCGTCGGGCCCTTTAACATGCGGCCCGCCGGGACGGCACTTAAAAAAAATAAAAAAAAAAAATTAACAATGTAGCCCGTCGTTCGATCCGGCCCAGCCCGGCAGGACCAAAATTCTAAAAAATGGAACCGAGACCGAACCGCGACTCTATGGGTCCGATTCAACGAACCGGCCCTTAGGGTTCCTGGTTCGGGCCGGTTTGTGCCGGGCCGGTGCCGATTCGTGGGCCAGTTCACGGGACGATTCGGCCCGTGTCCATGTCTACTATTTATGTACCAAAAAGAAAAGGTCACAATATTTTTATACAAATGGAGTATTGACTATTGACCAATCATATTTCTTAACCAATAAAAATATATTTATATTATCCAATATCATAATTTTTTATATTAAATTATACATTATAAAGAACATGCTCGATCAGGGCATATCTGATGTCGTCCCTAGAGTCACTGCAGACTGCAGTCAGTCCTTAGGGTGTCCTTGATTTACACACGACACGCATATACCCACATAGGTGTGTGAAATCAAAAACCATAGGGGTTGACTGCGCTACCCCTAAAAGCAATATCAAATTTTCCGTATCCATGTATGATATGAGATTTGGAAGAGAAAAATATAATAAAATTGTCGGCAGTTTTGGGCTTTCCATAAACCTGAGGTTTTGTCTATAAACGAGCCAAACTCGAGTTTAGGGTACTCGAACTCGAGCCAGAAATCAAGTTTAAGCTCGACTCGTTTATCACTGTTAACGAGCCGAGTTCGACCTTTAGCGAGTCGATCTCGTGTTTTAACGAGTCGAATTATAAAAAGTTATATAAAAGTTCGTTTTTCAAGACTCGGCTTGTTAACTAAACGAGCTTTACATGAGCTCGAACTCGAACCAAACAGAGTCAAACCAGACTCGTTTACTTTAATTGCACTACCTCATGTCCATCGATAAGGACCAAAACTGAGTAATATTTTATATACATACCAGATTTCATTATTACCAAGAACTTGGACAGGTTCAACCAATTGAATTTCGGGTTAAAAAGATAACGTAATATCTTGAAGTCATAAAAGTTTATGGTCAACTATATCCAAGGCCCAATAAGAAGAAAGATGTTTAAATTTTTCATTAATATTTTGGACATTTTATTGGGATTCTCTCGTTTACTTAGGCCTCGTTTACTTTTATGATGGGATTAGATAAGATAGTCCTTTACTTTTTCTACATCAGCATCAGAAGAATTCTCTCCTTTGTTTACTATTAGATTGGCCGCAACTTTGATTCCTCAAAATTGGCTTCTACTTTTCTTACAATTCATATGGGTAAATCATAATTGACTGAAATGTCCCTAAACAATCCACCCGTAGCCTTTTTCGAGTACTCTTCTCTTTGAGCCAAAACGATTCTGAACCCTAGAAACACCAAGCTCCATAACCGAAAAAGGGCAAATCCTCCACCTTAATTTGACGAGCAGAGCGATTCTAGGTAACCCTCTTTTAAATTTCTTTTCTGTCGCGACCATACGGAAAAGGAGCAAAGTTTGTGACTTTCTGATTTTGGGAGGTCGCCTGCTAGGGTTTTTTGCCCGTCTCCCTTCTCAGCCCTTATAAAGCGTTGGTTTCGTAAATAAGGAGAAAAAAAAAGGTTTTAAAGTCATTTTCATGACTATTTGAGGGGTAAATATGGTATGAATAGTGCAGGATTGCAGATTCCCGTGTCCAAGCTGGGATAATTTATATCGAACAATGAGGGACTACTTTGCCACGTAGGAAATGCACCTCTGCGCCACATCACCATAATCCTATCAAAACCTACTTTAGTAAACAATGGATTCAGCAAAATCATATCCTTATCATTAAAAGTAAACGAGGCCTTAAAGACGGTTATTTGGATTTAGTCAGTAATTTCTGACTATTTTTTTAGTATTATTATTTCTTATTTATGTAATTATTGATTAGATCGTGTGCTCAATGTATTTTGTTAATCCGTTTAATATTTTATTACAATAAACACGAGCAAAAATCGCCTAAACCAAAAAATATTATTTCGCATGTTTTCTGAATTTCTGAATTACAAATAAATAATTTAAAATTATCAATTTGTGGTGAGTAAAATCGCATGCAAAGAAAAACATTCTATATATATAAAAAGTGCTCAATATGAATACTTATTTTTACAAATAAATACTTATTTTTTCTTTAATCTTTTCCAATACAAATTGTGCTTCGTTGCTATGGTATTATTTAAATATTTTAATAGTAATATTGTTTTCATAATTCTTAATTAGACTGTATTAAAAAAAATACATTGCATTAATAAAATTTACAAAATATTATCAAAAGCAATTAATTAAAACGACCTTTTTTTTATTTCTTCAAAAAAGAACAAATCACAAAATAATAATAAATTGTTACTTTTCTATTTTTCTTTCTTTCTTTTTTTTTTTTTAAATCTATACTTATATTAAAAACTATACTATTTAGTAAATGTAGTATGTAGAATAGTCAACTCTAATTAATGATTTGTTATTTTTATCAAGCAATTAATTAATGCATCTAATATTTTTGGTATGCAAATCAAATTAGCATTTAATTAGTTCCTAAAATATTGGGTATGCAATATTAATTTAGGAATACCCATGTAGTTCATAAAATGTTGGTATGTGATACGTAAAAGAAGATTTTTTAATTTTTTTAAAAATAAAATATTGCAACACGTAAAACTATTCCGGTTATTTTTTATTTTATTTTACATATAAAATCTAATCAATATTTAATGCATCCTACAAAATTGGATTTAGTTTAATTCTCCATACAATTGACCGTAACTTTTTTCAGTTGTACTTTATTTATTTATTTATTTTACATTTTTAAATTAATGAAGCTCTCTGAAAATACCAAATCAAATGATTTATGATTTTTTTTTTTAACAATTTGAAATCTATATAACCAGCTTAAAAAACTCATCGCTTATATATGGACGAGTTTAAGAAATTTCATAACCCAATTTATAAAATTTCATCTCCACGAGTCAAAAAAATCACATCCCTCATATATCGTAACAACTTTAAAGGTAAATAAATAAAAGTCTAATTACTACCATAACTCCATTATCTATATAGATTTTTTAAAAATCTAAATTTCACCTGTCTAATTACTAATATTTTAGATACTCTTAAATATTATTTGTATAAATTTTTTTACACATTTGCCCTCTCTCTATATATACATATATGGAGGTTAAATGAAGAATTTTTAGACATATTTTTCTCACGGGTAGTTTAGAAAAATTTAGGTCACTTCAAACATTATTTGTGAATAATATAGAATATTCTAGATGCCTTTATATATGTTATAAAATATTTTAAGTATTTTTAATATTTATATATCACACTTAAAAAGAATAATTTGCCAAAATAAAAACATTAAATACACATTGTAAATGTTAATAGAAACATTTTTCAGTTTTCGTCTTTGATTTTGTCAAAACAATTCTGATAAAATTGGTGAAGTCAAAATTTGTACGTAAAGTCTATCTATACTAAAAAAAAGGTAGATTCAAAATTCTTTATCTAATTTTTTCTTTTCTTTATCTAATTTCTTCTTATTATCTAATTTTATAGAAATCTGTTCTGATTTTGTTCAATCCTCTAATTGTATTTGTATTATATCCCATCAAATCGTTTTAACAAAAAAAAATCTCATAACATCCGATAAGTAAAAAAAAAGTACATAAAATCTTTACTAAATAAAAAAGGTTTTATTTATTATCTAATTTATTATTTAATTGTATGAAAATTTGTTCTGATTTTTATAGTACGTACTATAAATTGTGCACCCGTGTTCAGGAGCTACCTAACGGGCAAGCTATGTGGAAATAACTCATTTATTGCTTTTGTCCCGTGCATACGGTATATATTTGTATTACACATACTAGAAAATTGTGCATCCCGTGCATAACTCGTGTTCACATTTTGGCATATTACAAGTCACGTACATTTTTTTTTTATATATATCCCGTACATTTTTCTTTATTCATTTATATAATTATAAGACTTGATAAATGACCTTAATGTGTGCACCCGTACATCGCACAGGATCTGTACTAGTTTTATTTACTATTTATTTATTGATTTTGTTTAATAAATTTTGTTTGTAGCAGTTCAAAGCTTACACCATTCCTTCTTCCCCTTCGCCGCCAGGCAGAGATTTCCAGAAAAAAAAAGAGTGAAAAAAAAAAGAAGGCTTCATTTATAATCCATCGGTTGCAAGGAGGGCCAAAATTGAAAAGAGGAGAGAAAATCACACATGGGTTTTCTCTCTCCGGTGAGATTTAGACAGTAACATAAGGGTACATTTGATTTCTTGATTAATGCGAACAAAAAAAAAAATAAAAAAATAAAGCTAATGTGAGAATGTTCGTCAAATTTCAGGTTTTCTTGATAAAACCCATTCGGTCCTAACCTTCCTGTCGCCATCGATGTTCATGCCGGAAGCTTTTTGCGGGTCGGGTCGGGCCGGGTCGATTACTGCTTGGATTTTTCATGTTATTGCTCGCATTGGGTATACCATTTTTTTTTTCTAATTTTTTTTGTGTGACGATGTTTGAATTTTGTTGAAATATCACTTGTGAGTTGTCTACATTAATTCTACAGAAAATGAGGCTAGTATACTAGCGTCACTCCTCCCATCACTAATTGGTTTTGGGATAAAATCTCACTAAGGTGCATCTAGACTCACCCTGTTATGGTGCGCTATGGTGCGCTAATCTGTTATGGTGCGCTATGGTGCGCTAATCTGGTGGAATCGCACTCTCTTGCCTCGGTTCTAATATGGTATCAGAGCGGGCATGTCCTAGGACATGCAATGACTTTCTATCCGGCCTGCTCTGGGCTCTAGTATATAAGTTTAGTGGGCTACTCCTCCAATTACCAATTGGTTTTTGGGATGGAACCTCACTAAGGTGCATTTAGGCTCACCCTCTTATGATGCACTTCATCTGGTGGGACCATACTCTTGTCCCCCGGTTTTAATAAATTTATATATTTTAATCCATTTAGTCAACAACTTTTTTTGTGTTGTTTGTTGTTTTGATTTGGTTGTGTCTTTCAGGCTATTGTTAAATTGAGAGAAGAAATTGGATCTTTGCTATAAATCAAGCATTTTGATGCTTTAATATAAGAACACATTTTACTTTGATAAGCTCCATTTATCTGTGTTGTTTAGTTTAAGGTTAGCTTGTCTGAATCACATTGGAAAGATGAGCAGTACAAGAGCTGCATATTTAAACACTAGCAAAATGTCCTTTATCAGTAACCTTCCTTAAAGATTTGTTTGCCAAAATCAACTATATTAATATGACATTAACTGTTTACAGAGTTTTATTTGTCGATACAGAGATTAGTCCATACGGATTCTGGTTTATTTAGCATACAAGCTGACTCAGTTAAGCTCCTTGACATTTAGTTGAACGGAATATCGAGATGTAATCTTTCTTTATTTTTCATTCATTTGTATGTGGTAGCTATGTGGTACACGCACATGTACTGTTAAAACATTTCGACTGAGATTAGTGATATTGTATTATATTTTCTGCTAAATACAGGAAAATGCAGGAAACTATTCCGAATATTGGTTAGCAAATAAGATTTCAGTAATTACTTTTCTCATGTTGTCTTAATAAAATTTTGAAGTATTGTGGTGTTTGTTTTTTAACTGCTTCTACCATATCATTTGGAACAGGGTAGTTGTTGTGGGTTTGATTATTAGCCCAAACTGATTTTCATTTCTTTCATTGAGCTGTTGAGAAAAGCATAACCGAAACTCTTACTTATTAGAGATGAGCTACAAAGAAGTTCCTTCGTGTGAAAGCATCTCAACGAATAATCTGCCGATTTCTATGCATGAAGCTCATGGAGCTGGTGACGCGATGAAACCACCTACATTCGTAAATCATGGTGAATTGGATTTTTATTTCTATATTTTTTCTTGTCGAATTTCATTTCTCACATTTTGGGATATGATGTGAGTTGTAGAGTTTTTATTCGGAAAAGGCTTTGGATATAGGTCTTCTTCTGTGGAACCAGGAAAGAGAGAAATGGAGAAGCGGTAAAAAGGATGTAACTCGTTCGAAAAAGTGGCGTATACCAAAATTACGGTGAGTTGATTTCAATATTTACCAAGTTATGTGAACAGATAACAGTTTAATCGAATGTGAATTTGAATATTCGTTCAGGTATTGTTGTTACCAAGTTCCTTATCCGAGTAATTTATCATTGATCATTCTTGTTTATTTTGTTCTCGTGAAATTGCTCATGTAACTCATGGTGATGCTCATTGCCTCGTTCGATTGTGTTTTTTTTTTTTCTTTTTCTTTTTTCCTTTCCTAGAACATTGTGTCTGTGTATAGGTAAGAGATTTTGTTGTGGAGGGAGTTCAGCTTACGATAAAATGCTCGGAAAGAAGAAGCCATTACCCAGACCTATTCCCCTTCATGTATGTTTTTTTTTTTTTTTTTTTTTTTTCTTCTCGTTTTCGTGTTCTTTGATTTGATAACTCGTATGTGTGTTGGATTGTGGTGGCTATGATATCCGACTTACCAAACGAAGAACATAACAGGAAATGGTCGATTTTGTAGTCGATATTTGGGAGCAGGAAGGATTGTATGACTGAAGCCCACATGCCATGTTGTAAATGCGGATTTGTAAAAAGAAAGGTAAATGAAATGCTGGTTATTACATGAAGAAATTCTTGTGCTGTAAGAACGAGATTTGCTTGCATCGATATTTAGAAATATTTAGTGTGATCTCTACTGTTCTGAGACTGAGAGAAGTACTTGCAAGAAAGGGATGAAATTTTGATGTTTTATTTAGAAATTTGGAGTAATCATTCGTTTGTTCTTCCAAATTTAATCTCCCTCAAACTAAATCTGAAATATATATGCAAAAGATAACAGATTCACAAAGCAAGTACAAAGATAACTGATTCATGACTTCAAAAGTTGGTTGCTACAATGATTAAAAGTTGATGCAAGTAAATGGAAAGTCGCATCACCTGAACTTCGTATACTCTCACGCCTCTGCACACACATCCAAGTGCGACTTTAAAACGTGTTGGAACCACGTTAATTAGCCATTCATTGATTTTTTGTGTGAGACCGTACGGTTAGTTGGGTCGACCTGTTATGCTTTTTTGAATAAAAAAGCATATTTATATTGAAAATGTTCATGTTTTCTAAGTATGTCACTTATGTATAAAAGTATGTGTACATATTGAAATTTTAATATTTTATTTGCATGAGCTTGACGAGGTCAGCTTTTTAAGGATCAGCTCGACGAGGTCGATTTGTTAAGGTTCACCTTGACTTGACATTAGTATACAAATGCTCAAGATTGACTTAAGATCGATTCTAATTTTTCTCGAATTCAGCTCGAGTTTCGAATACGCATTTCTTAATTCAGACAATATATTTTTCTCTATGTTGGCTCAAATTTAGCCTAGGGGTATATATTTAGGTAAAATACATTTATGCTCGATTGGCTCGTTGAGTACTCAGACTCAAGTATAACTCAAGTTGGGATGTTGAGCTTGACTCATACTCGATCAAACTCAAGTTTCAGTTAAATTTTGACTCGGGTGCATGCAAGAAGTTGATTCTTTCACACTTATTTTGTGATAAATAAATAAATAGTTAAAAGAACCCAAAAGAAAAGAGATGTGAAAAAAATTGCAAATAAACCACATTATATATAAACGGTTTAGGGTTATAAAGATACTAATACAATAAATTAATAAAAAATTGCAAATAAACCAAGTTATAAAGATACTAATACAATAAATTAATAAAAAATTGCAAATAAACCACATTATATATAAACGGTTTAGGGTTATAAAGATACTAATACAGTAAATTAATATAAATATAATAAACGATAATTTGTTTTAATACACAATAACAGCCATAGAGAGGAATTAATACACAATAATAGCCATAGAGAGAAATTTGTTTATTTTGTTTATCAATAATAGCTTACAAATGTTATTTGTTTAGGTATAATAGCTTACTCGGGCCAATTTGGGTATAATATGATATGGTATTCAAGGTATTTCAATCTTCAGAGTTAGAACATTCAGTTTTGGATAAGAGTTGACTGTTATATTTATATTATTATATATTATGCTATTTTTTATGCAATGTTTGTCGTATAACTTTTTTATTTTTATAATAATTTTTTAATATTATCTTTATCCATATCATTTATATAACTACCAAAAAATTGGATTTATGGTGTATACTAATTAAATCTAATAATCATTAAAATAGATATAGCCGTATAGAATATTCTAAAAATATTGGGACTATACTCTTAAAATAATTTATCTATATAGAAATAAATATTGGGACTATACTTTTAAAATAATTTATATATATAGAAATAATGAGAACATTATAAAAAATTAGTTAAATAAGACTATCATAAATTCAAATACGATCTTTTCTAAATATATTTGGAAACAACCATGTATTTTTCATTTCCATGAAATGTGTAACTCAATGATATTTTTTTTCTCTCACGTTTTTCTTCAATTATTATTATTTTTTTTATATGTGCAAATCTCTTTATCTATGATTAATTCATACATTTCTTCCACCGAATACAAAATAATATGATGCAGCATGTGGTAGACAAAAAGGGATTAAGAACTCAAAGAACTCAAGAGATTTTTTATTCAATCGTAAAAACCCCCTTCTCCCCCATAGAAGGAGTACAATAAATAAAGACCCAACATTCCTAACCCTACTAGGTTATCTTGGTAAGCAAGATAACTATTTATTTAATAATAAAAAGAAACATAAAATAGATAGGAAATAAACAAACTAATAATTTGAACTTAAATAAACTAGATACGAAGCCGGTCGAACTTGTCCAAGAAAGCCATCGCGGCTTCATCTCCATCATAATACCAGGTCGAGTTTTTAAATTATCTGTTGATTATGTTGATACTATTTTGATACTAGTGAAAAGTTGTAAAAATTGATGTCAATTAAAAATATATTTTAAAAATGTTTTTAAAATTTGATAATGAGTTTAATGGTAAATGAATTAATATTTGATGTGATAGTTACGCAAAAAAAAAAAAAGGTTTAACAACGAGTTTTTCGGATGAAGATGGTTGAGTTGAGGAATAATTGAGAAAACACCGTGAATTTAATTGTGCATCGTAATATTTATTAGAATATTTACTTGTGAGTTGTCCAACATCATTTATATATGGAACATGGACCTAATTTATAAGTCTACTGGACTACTTCTTCTACTAATTGGTTTTGAGATGAAACCTCACATTAAACTTTTCCTATCTTGGTGCGCTTCATCTGCGTAGGACCACACCCATTTTTCCCGTTTCTTACAATATTCCTAATAAATTTCATTTGCCTTTCATGTCCTCAGCACTCAAAAAGTGAGCTTGGGTAATTAGGAAAACGAAACACACCACCGTGGAGAAAAAAAAACACCACGACAAATTATATCATTTGTTTCAAATCAATAAAAAAAAATTAAATTATTTCTTCGTCAAAATTGTCCTAACAAATTGAAAATTATAATGATTAATGAGTGATGAATTTGATCCTATTGGGCTGGGTTCTGAGCCCGAACGCAAAATTGAGAGGCCCGCACCGGAAATGAGAAAAAAAAATGCCCAAGAAAGAGAAAAATCAAATAAATAAATAAATAAATAATTAAATAAATATAAACAAAATTCTTGAAAGAACCAGAAATTTCTCCTCAAAAATGGCGACATGCTCCTTTTCATCTCCGACGAGCGTTAAGCACCACAGTGCTCCGTCGCCGATTTACAACTGCACCACCGCAAACACCAAGTCGAGAGCTCTTTGCTTCACTGCTTCTCATAAATTTAATCTGCACCGTTCATTCCTCTTCAAACGCAATCCTTGGTCGGGCCGCTGCTACGCCGCCGGGCCACCATCAGAACCGCCTTCCGAGAAAAGTTTAGCTCCAATTTCAGGTGCCCGCGTTTTCTTCTTTACTCTTTTCCTTTTTCTTTTCAATTCCTCGTTGAGTGCTTTTAACTTTGAAAGCATTAAGTTGCTATCCGGCAAATATGTTGACTGAGAGTGTATTTAATCAGGAAATTGATGGTGTTTATTCATTTTTCTGGGACTAATGAAGTAATAGTGACTGTGATTGGCTTGCCCTATTGTTATGGTTCAGGGATTGAGAAAGTGATTTGGGTTTTAAAGTGGGAAAAAGTTGTAACTTCGTTAACTCAGCATTTGAAGAACACATTGTGCTTAATATGTGCATAAAGTTACTTTCTTTTGGTCCTAATGTGATTGTGTTTGACAATTTTGAGTCTTGAGTTTTTGTTTTGATGCTGAGTCCACTTTGAGTATCGAAGCATCTTTGCTTTTAGTAGGACTTACACACCATTTCGAGCATCGGATATTAATTGAACTGTTTTTGGAAACATCTTCAGGGGACCAGTTGCTTTAGGAAAGAAGATTGAATGTTATTAATTGCGATTAATGAAAAATTAGTTCATCTGTGTCGTATTAGATCTCAATGTCAAAGTGATGCATGAGGTAGAAGTATCGTCACTTGTGAATCCATGCTGCGAGTGAAAAAGAAAATGTTGGAGGCAAATTGATAAATCATGGCACACGGATATTAAAGGGCATCAAGATTCATTACTGTGATGATTTCATCATTCTTTGGTTCAATGATGATATATGTTGGTTGTCTAACAGTATAGTGCAAGACAACCTTTGTGTGTCTCTTTATGTGTAGGAGCTTAAGCTGTAACTTGTAAGTACACTTATAGACGGAAGTCCATTATTATGCAAGGAAAGTTCTTTGAGATTGCTAAATCTTTTGAGTAAACTCAATGACATTATTAGGACTGAGATTATAACTGTGAATTTCTGATGATTCTTGAATTGGTTGAATAACTTTGGATGGCCTGAACGTCCCGTCGAAATTAAAATCTCAACATTTTAGTTTCAAGATATCATCTTCAATGCTAGAAGCTTTTGGATGATACTTGCGCGGGATTGAATCTCAACTCAGGTTTGAGGATATCTTCTTGACAAAATTCAGGGAGCAAGAGACAAATGCTCAAATTACAAATTAATGTTCCATGTGATGATAATAACTGCAAATACATGTGTTATAATTTCACGCCAGAAATGAAAATCATAGACATGAAGGCACCGTGAAATGGTTTTCTTGTTTATATTTCATCATGGCGATTGCTTTTTTTTTTTTTTAAAAAAACTAATTGCTGTTCCATTGTTATTTTATTTGGCAATTTGGTAGAAGCCATTTTATTTTTCGAAATAGAGAAGATGAGAGAGAAACCTAAACCGGACACTGTGAAGTTGTCATCCAGTATCGATTAAATAACGTAATGATTTTTTGCACGTTTTGTTGGAGCGTGTGTTGAAAATCATTTTTCTTGCTGGTAGAAATAATAGTTTACCAAAATAGTGATGCTGAAAAACCACTTTTCGATGTTAAATTTTTGTTAATGTTTTTGTTCTACATTCCCACCTCGAAGCAACAAATGTTACCGATCTAGCCACATACAGACATGAGTACTTGTTAATTTGTTGTCTATTCATTGATATTTTCGGAAAACACAGAAAATCTCGAAAGAACTTGGGGTGTCAGTTGATGTGCTGGGAAAAATACTTAAATTCCCTTTTTAATTGATCTTAAATGGTTTATTTTTGTTTTCTTCTCTGAAACCATATTGTAGATGTTCTTTTCGACCCATGGGAAAAGTTCAGAAATTGTTAAAAGAGAAAAAAATTGTTTTTGGCTTAAAAAGGTACTTATTGTTGCTTAATCAATCTTGCATAAATAAATTTGGTGGTTTGTTTGCCACTTTTCCTGTTCGAGAATTCTCCCTCTCTTTTCCATGAGTTGTGTAATATTACACTCTCTTGAATTTATTCAACACTTTTAGCTTTCCTCATGATTCCTCTCTCACCGGAGACTAATGGGATATTCTAATGATTGTATATGATGCACGACCACTTGAATTTCACTTCAGAGATAACCCAACTAGAGGATATACTTTTCGTTTTCTCCTATCGTGGTTTGATGGTAAATATCTTGACGTTTCTAGTTCAGGTTCCCTCATTGGGCTTCCCAATAAATACTTCATACACTCATCACTTGACATTGATATAGCTTCTGCTTGTCTTTCTTGAAAATATCTTTCGTCACTTCTTCTCCGTTTTTTTGTGTATCAGGTGTAAGATCGGCTTTCACGAAATTTCAGGACACCTTGCAGATATTCTTTGCTGTGCTATTTTGGATGTCTCTCTTTTTCTGGTCTTCTTCATGGAATGGAGGGGACAGCAGCAAGCAGAACAAAGGATCTCGATTTAGGAAATAACTGCGTAAGCTGCCACGCTGTACAGATAGAAGCAGTACATGAAACTTAGTTAGAAAAATGTGTAATGAGAGGTATTTTAGTAATTTTTACGTATACTCGGGTAGCTCCTCAAACGGTCATAACCAATTTCAGCTGGATTCACATTAAAATGAGCCAATTTCACTTAACAAAAGGGCTCTCTGTTTGATGACTTTACTTGTCCTGTCTGCTTGGTGCCTTCCTAGACTGACATATAACTATGTAAGGTTCAAACAATGAGCTTCAGCCAGCAGTGCACATGTTTAGGTGTGGTGATTGATGTTCTTTTTACACACCCAAAGTACACTTCTGTCTCGGGCTTATTGGTGCAAAATCTGGTCCTATGGATATGAGCTTTCGGAAAATTTCGTCAGCGCCTCATTGAGATAGAGTGCACGGGCTGAAGGTAGAAACAAGCTAGCTCAAAAGAAGTCGAGTCGGTCACATGATTTGACAGTCTATTAAAGAAACTGATGTGGAACACACTACTTAATATATAAGAAGAATATTATAATGATACGAAACACTCGTTGATAGAGGCACGTGGCATAACAAAATCGAGCAGTTTGGGCACCTGGACAGTACACACGGGTTGCTCGGGCAGCAAGGCAGTCCAACTAGGCAATCTTGGGCAACGATGCGACGTCCCTACCTGTATAATAGGTGATGTATGATCGTTCAAACTCAAGACACTATGGGGCGATTGGATATGGATTAAATCAGTTATGATTTAACTTGGTGAGTTAAAGTGAATTATTTAGAATAAAATAAATTTAAAATAAATAATATTTAAAATTTAATTATTATAGTTGATATAAGAAATGATATGTAGTTAAAATTATGTGAGTGAATGAATAGTAAATTAAAATTGATGTGACGTACGAGAAATGAGAATGACTAATTAGTATTATTTAATGTTTTTATAGAAAATAGACTAGTTGAGTTGTGTTGGATTTTGAATGAGGTGATCGGATACGAAATGATTCAACCGATTTAACCGGTTGAATCAGATCGTAACTCATATCCATTCACGCCCTATTACATACATACAAACTATATTGTTGTTGTTCATTTTCTTCTTCATTCAAATACAGATTGTCGGAGTCTCTATGTCGAGACAAGTCTACTGAATCGTTCGAGAGCAGATCCAAATCGCTCGAGTCCGATCGATGTTGTTTTGCACGCCAATTATTATTATTACCCAAAAAAACCATTCTATCACACCATCAAGGAATCCTATTGGTTGTACGTATTTCCGGTGGCTCGTGGGCCAAAACCACCATACCTAAGGGCCCTCCACCACATTCACCAGTGGCGCCTCATATCGCCACCCAATGCCCCTTCACGTCAACATTTCAATCTCAATAAATAGAAACACTAAACACAAATTCTTGTGTAATGAGAAACAATAATACAATATCCATGTAATATTATACCAGTACTTAAAAATAAATAAATGTACAAAGAAAAAAATAATAATAAATGCTTGTTTTTTTATTGTATAATTAAAAAATACGTCACAAATAACCCATAGAATTTTCAATTTTCTTTTTATTATAATTTTGAAAAAACTGTTTGATTGAGAATTCGAAGTTAGAAGTTGCCTTCTTTAGTTCTTTATGACATGATTGGTATATTTAAACGAAATTTGATAGGAATAAAATGAGTTGAAGAATGGAATGAATGTGGAAAATGAATGAACAAGTTTTTCCATTGTTGTGTGATATATAGAAGGAATAAAACCTAAATGGAATGACATTATCGTTCTATATTATCATTTATCACTATTTTATAGAAAATAAATTAACATTTATATTAATGTTATTTTTTTATGGTAATAATAAAATTATTTAATTGATTAAAAAATAAACTATATTTTAATAACAAAAAATTCATTTTATTTCTTTAAAAAAATTATATTTCAATATATATATTTTTGTATAGTTACACTCTTATTTATTATATAATAAATTAGTGAATGTGTATTCATATACAATTAACTAATACAATCACAAAAACTCCTACAAGCACATGTGCTCGAATATAATTTTCAATATTATAATTCAATTTAGGCTAAATTTTATTTTCAGTACACTATGTTGGTCATTTTCCGAAAAAGGTTCATCATATAGGGTGTCATCAATAATGGTCTACTAAGTTACAAATTTAATCAAAATTCATACAAAAACCAAGATAGTGTACTAAAACAGACGATCAATTATAGTACACTATCTTGGTTTTTGTATAAATTTTGATTAAAATGGCAACTTAGTGGACCTTTATTGATGACGTCCTATATGATGAATCTGTTTCGGAAAATGACCAACATAGTGGACGAATTTTAAAATTTTGCCATTCAATTTATGAATAAATATACAATATATGATGTACAAAAGTATATTAATTTATGAATAAATATATAATATATGATGTACAAAAGTAAAATATATCTTTTTAATTTTTTTAAATGCATTTTTTTATATTATTTTTTATATAAGTATTTAATATTTCTAATTAAAATATGAACAATAAATAAAAAAATAAGTTTTTTATTTTCTTATTTGAAATAAAATATTTTTATTTAATATAATTTAATCATGACTTATATATATATAATTTTTTTTTAATTAGTATTTGTTAATTATTTTTTTTGAAAAAATTGATTCCTACAAATATGAGAATGGTCATCCTTATTAGCTATGGAATGGCTAATTTCATGGAAATGAGTTTTGTGATTCCATCGGAATTTGTCATTACTTTTAAAAAAATATACCAAACATATGAAATGAAATGAAATGATTATTCTATTCCTATGTTATTCCCTCGTACCAATCATGACATTATATCTGTATAATTGTAAATATTGAACTAAAAAGGATTTCATTATTGCCTTCTCTATATTCAAAGTTTGTGTTGATGAGGATGGAAGGAATAAATTATATATTGAAATAAAAAGAAAAAAAAAACATATGACAAATTGTATTTGACAGAAAGAAAGTGCCATAAAAACATCATTTATTTATGGCTATTATCAAGCATAATTTTTAATAATTATTGTATATACAAATCAATGTTCCAAAAATAGATGGCAAAATTGCATTTCTAGTCCCACTGGTTTAACATTGTAGCATTGTAGTTTCCAGGATTTTAATTTTTTCTCTTTTGGTCCTGTAATTTAGTATTTTGTTGCAATTTCGGTCATTTGAGACTAAAATTGCAGCAAAATATGAAATTACAAGACTTAAATTGCTAATAAAAAATCCATCCAAAAGATTTTTCATTAGCAATTTAAGTCCTGTAATTTTATATTTTGTTGCATTTTCAGTCCCAAAAGACTGAAATTGCATTAAATTTTAAAATCATAGGACTAAATAACAAAAATATTCAATTCGTAGGACTAAAAACGCAAATGGATCAAACCAACAGGACTAAAATTATAATTTTTGCCAAAATACATTTATATCATATAGAATTTTAAAGCGTACGAGTCTGTCACTTAAATTCGAACGAGAAATTCGAGAAAAAATACGTATTCTCATGATTTGTATCCACGAGTGAATTGATAGGAATTCTCTTGTTAAAACCTTATGAATCGACTAGCTATTCCGCTATTTGCCCTTTCTTCGCCGACAGACACGGAAAGCAAGGTCCGTATTCGAGGATAATAATAATATAGATGAGATGAGATTATTTATGTTTCTCTTTATAACTAGTACAACGCCCGTGTATTACACGGGTGCTTGCTAATTTTTTTTCTTAAAATCTAAAATTAATAAAAAAAAATAATTGAAAATTTAAATACCTTTTATAAATTATATACATTATTATATATTTAGTATGACACTTTTTATTTGTTCAAACTTACATATGTTATTTTATAATAATTTTTTTAACTTACAACATATAACTACATTAAACATAAATATATCATTTAAGAAATAATTTTATTTTTCTAATAAATTTTAATAAATATTATTATTTTTTATTATTATAAAGATAAATATAATTTATTTATTTCATATATACAATATGGATGTCAAATCGAAGATCATCAAAAGATGATTAATTTGATATATTATATATGTAAAACCGATAAGAAATACAAAAGTTATCAATTTTTAAAATACATTTACAATTCAATAACTAATTGAAGGAAACAAATCAAAAGTCAGGGATATATTAGTCATTTAGTGTTTTACTATGTAAAATTACAAGGAATTAAAAGGTTATATTAGTACAAATAATATTAAAATACCTAAGTTAGCTAATTAATATCTATGGAATGTCCAAACCTAGATTATTAATTATTAATATATCAATATTATTTGTCCAAACCTAATTACGATTGCCAAGTAAGATTTCGAAGCACCAGAAGCAGCCACGTAGGCTCAGCGCATTAGGGAATTATATATAGGGAGGATATGAGATTTTTAATTTTTATTTTTTTTTAAATATATGTATTTATAACAAAAAGTATGACAACCAAAAGTATTTGGATGAGATGATTTAGGTCTATTCCAGCCTAACCAGTGGTCTCGTGTTCGAGCCCTAGGAATGCAGCAGTATTAAAACTCTTGAGGGAGAGCTTTGCCGCCCTTGTGGTCTTACTCGGCTCAATTTTGGATTAGTCGGTTCCCCTGTGGATCC